GGTTTGCTGGAGCTCCGGGGGAGCTGGATTGTCCTTTAGACGTTGAGATTGCAAATGATCGATCTGTCTGGGTATCGAGGGTTCATCGGGGTTGTGTTCTTCATATGTTCAACGAGCAGTACCCGATTGATTTGGTTCCCATTCCTTTACGCTGGAACAAGGTTATCCTAGGGATGGACTGGTTGAGCCCCAATGGGGTAGTGATCGATTATGAGCATCAGTTAGTGCGTATTCGGACCCCAAGTAGGGGAGATTTGGTGGGTTCAGGGAGAGAGAGCTCAGTGTGGGCCAATTATATGTTTTGCGGCTAGGGTCAGACACTATCTTCGTAAGGGTTGTTCCGGATTTGTCGTCTATGTTATGGATACCCGGGATAAGGGTAAGGCGACCGTGGATGATGTGCTGATTGTACGGGAGTACCCAGATGTGTTTCTGGAGGATTTTCCCGGAGTGCCTCCGGAGAAGCAGGTGGAGTTTAGGATTGACCTGGTTCCTGGTGTGGCTCCGATAGCCAAGGCATCGTATCGGTTAGCTCATCCAGAGATGCAAGAGTTGTCTACACAGCTGCAGGAGCTGTTAGACAAGGGGTTCATTCAGTCGAGCAGTTCGCCATGGGGATCACCAATCCTGTTTGCGAAGAAGGATGGGTCTCATCGGATGTGTATTGACTACCGAGAGCTGAATAAGCTAACGTTGAAGAACCGTTATCCACTCCCGAGGATAGATGATTTGTTTGACTAACTTCAGGGCGTATCTTGGTTTTCCAAGATAGATCTGTGTCGGCTAACCATCAGATGAGGGTCAGAGAGGAGGATGTACAGAAGACAGCTTTTCAGACTCGTTATGGTCATTACTAGTTCGTGGTGATGCCCTTCGGGCTCACCAATGCTCCAGTCGTGTTCATGGACCTCATGAACCACGTATGCATGCCGATGCTGAATCGGTCTGTGATTGTATTCATTGATGATATCTTGGTCTATTCGAAGACCCAAGAGTTACACGAGGAACACTTGAAGGAGGTATTGGAGACTTTAAGGAGGGATAGACTTTTTGTGAATTTCTCCAAGTGTGATTCTAGTTGCGCGAGGTGTAGTTTCTGGGGCACCTTGTCAACCAGAACAGTATTCTAGTCGATCCATCCAAGGTCGAGACTGTGATGAGATGGGAGGTTCTGAGGTCTCCATCTGAGATTCGGAGTTTCCTTGGATTGGGGCAGGTTGCTATCAGATATTCATTCGGGATTTCTCCCAGATAGCGGTTCCTCTAACTCGGTTGACAAAGAAGACTGTCACTTTTCGCTGGGGGCCTGAGCAGTAGGAAGCGTTTGAGACACTGAGACATAGATTGTGTGAGGCACCAATTTTTACCCTGCCGGAGGGTGTCGAGGATTTTGTGGTTTATTGTGATGCATCGATCACTAGTTTGGGTGCATTTTTGATACAGAGGGGTCGCGTGATTGCTTACGCTTTGAGGCAGCTGAAGCCTCATTAGGCGAATTATCTGACGCATGATTTAGAGCTGGGGGTTGTGGTTTTCACCCTCAATATTTGTCGACAGTACCTTTATAGGGTCCGCTATACTATTTACACAGATCACAAGAGCATGAGGTATCTGATGGATTAGCCAAATCTGAACATGAGGCAGCGCCGGTGGTTGGATGTGGTGAAGGATTATGATTATGAGATCCTTTACCATCCGAGGAAGGCCAATGTGGTGGTTGATGCTCTTAGCCGCAAGGCGGTCGTGGCTCCGATCAGAGATATTTGTTTGAGGATGACCGTGATTACTCTGCTTTTGGAGCGGATTTGAGAGGATCAGATCGAGGCTATGAAGGAAGAGAATCGGAAAAAAAGTGAGCGCATAGTGGGTCTGGTGGCTTCCTTTGATTATGAAAGTCGAGGGTTATTGACTCTTCATCGGAGAGTGTGGGTTCGGTATTGGGGTGGTGTGCGTCAAGTTCTGATGGAGGAGGTGCACAAGTCGAGATTCTCTATTCATACAGGGGAGAAGAAGATGAATAAAGATCTTCGTCCTGATTATTGGTGGCCCTGCATGAAGCGGGATGTAGCTTGGTGCGTGGAGATGTTCTTGACTTGCATGAAATTCAAGAACGAAAATCAGTGACCTCATGGAAAGATGCAGCTGTTGGATATTCCCGTTTGGAAATGGGAGGAGATTACCATGGATTTCATTATGAAGTTGCCTCGGACTGCGCGTGGAGTGGATTCGATTTGGGTCATCGTGGATCGATTGACCAAGAGTGCACATTTCATCCCGATTCAGGAGAGTATATTTGTGAAGAAGTTGGTTGAGGTATACATCAGGGAGGTCGTGGCATGGCATGGGGTGTCGGTTTCTATGGCTTCAGACAGGGAGCATGGGGTGTCGGTTTCTATGGTTTCATACAAGGAGGTCCGGTTTATTTCCAGATTTTGGACGAGGTTCCACGACGAGTTGGGTTCTCGTCTCCATTTCAGTACGGCCTTCCACCTTCAGACTGACGGTCAGAGCGAGCGGGCCATTCAAACCATAGAATATATGTTTCGGGCGTCCGTTTTTGGATTTCAGTGGTAGTTGGGATACGTATCTCCATTTGGCATAGTTTTCGTATAACAACAGTTATCATGCCAACATTGGTCGACCTCCTTTTGAGATGCTCTATGGGAGGAAGTGCAGGACCCCGATATGTTGGGGTGAGGTCGGTCAGCGAGTTATGGGGAGTACCAAAGTGGTACTCAAGATTACCGAGTTGATCCAGCAGGTTCAGAGTAGACTCCGGACAGCTCAGAGTCGACAGAAGAGCTATGTCGACAAGCATCGATCAGATCTAGAGTTCCAGGTTGGGGACATGGTTCTCTTGAAGGTGTCACCATGGAAAGGTGTCATCCGATTCAGGAAGATGGGCAAATAGGGCCCCATCGGTCCTTTCAGGGTTTTGGCCCGGGTGGGCAGGGTTGCTTATCGCTTGGATCTTCCTGAGGAGCTTATTCAGATCCATAGCACATTCCATATCTCTCATCTGCGGAAATGTTTAGTGGATGATTCTGTGGTGGTTCCGTTGGTGGATATTCAGGTGGATGACCGCCTAAATAACATTGAGAAACTGGTGGCGATTTTTGACAGGAAAATGAAAACCTTGAGGAACAAGGTTTTTGAATTGGTGAAAGTTTAGTGGCAGCACCGCAAGGGTTTAGAATGGGCGTGGGAGCCAGAAGTCGAGATGAGGGAGCACTACCCAGAGTTGTTTGGGGCAGCGGACTTCGAGGATGAAGTCTGATTCAAGTGGGGGAGAATTGTTACATTCGAATTTGGTAAGTTTCCCTTTTAGCCCTTAATGCAAAAAACTTTACATTTTGGTCCTTTAGCTAGTACGTGGGGCGTACTAGCCCAATACGAATCGCGAGACTCATCCACGACGCGGAGTACGCAAGGATGGGACAAACCCTAAAAATTAGGGTTTGTGCCCTATTTAAACAACTTAATCCACTTCTTGGGCCTTTATTGACCAGCCTCCATCTCCATATACCCTGACAATGAAACCCTAAGAGCATTTGGTGAGATTTGAGCTTGAAAGTGAATTGTTGGTGTTTTGTGGTGAAGAAGAAGAAGATGAACACTTGGAGGAGTAACTTGAGCTTGTGGATCCAAGGTTACTTTCACATTTGAAAGACTTTTGAGGTAAAAAGCTCTCACCTTGATGGTCATTTTTTCTAGATCTATTCTATGGTGTTATATATGCATTTTGAAGTCTTTTGAGTTCAACGTTGAGTTTTTGATCTACTCCAGAAGCCATGGATGTTAGATCTTAGCTCCAGTAAGGTTACTTGTTCATAAAAATGAAAACTTTATGGAGGATTTTGGTCCATGCAGGTATTAAGACCTTTATTAAATTGTTGTTTAAAAAGGGGGAGAAAAGTCTAATTTTGCTATGTTGTTAATTGATCATTCTTTGTATAGCAGACACTCTTGAAAGAAGAAGGTTATTATTCTCAGAGGGAGCAAAACTTAGGTGTTGTTTATCTGAGGGGGAGAAAAATCTAAGGGGTAGCAGACATCAACATTCTACTTAAGATATAGTTATGCATTCTTTATTAGTATAGATTTGATGATTCAAAATATATACTTCATAGTTATAGTTTATATGCTCATTGTAGAAGGTAAATCTTGTCTAAGTAAGTGTAAATAGTATAACTTAGACAAGTTGATATGTCAGAGCTAGTTTAGTTAGTTAATCTGAAGATATGCTGATGGAAGTTTATATGTCGAAGACTGAAGAACATCCCCTGATGAGTGAAAGACCCAGAAAACTCTATCAGCACCAAAGGCATGAAGACACCATCTACTGAAGACTGATAAGTGTGTCCAGACGTTGATGGTTATACATTGATGACACACTGATTAGATGATACGATGATGATACTCATTGATGGTCACTCATTATCTGTTGTAGCTGAAGCTGATCAACTTGACCCTGACGCTGATGAATGAAGTTGAAGCTGACATCCCTGACGCTAAAGTTGATGCTCTGATGTGCTGGTGTTGATATCCAAATCTGGAGAAGATCTGATTTGATACATTCTTTTTATACCAGATTTGTTTATATGTAGATTAGATACAATCCCTTGATTGAATGGATTCTCTAGAATAGATTAGTATATAATCAACATTAAGGTGAATCCCTAATGTTGTGAGAGCGACTTGTAAATGGATTTAGGGTAATCTACAGTAAAGTCCCAATATTTTGGGAAAAGTTTTAAAAAAGTCCTAATTTTTTTTTTGAATAAAAAAACCCAATAAACCGGATAAACCTAACAATTTAATCTCATTCATCGGGTAAGCCTCATTTAACCAGTTACAAATGTATATGTGGCATCTAATGGTGACTATACATTGACTTCATTTATTTAGGGTTTTCCTTTAAAGAAAACCCCTTTATTCTCGCCTCTTTATTCCCGAAAATCCTTGGATTCATCCTCTGTGTTCCTCCAAAGATTTTGTCGATGGGTGAAGTATTCGAGCCGGACACCATCGACGTTCAACTTGATGATTTTTTCAAAAGAAATCCAATTTCAAGATGCAAAGATGAGATAGTTTCTTAGCGTTCTGTGTGAAGAGAGTGATGGCGAACCACTGGGAGGTGAAGGAGAGCATGCAGTAGTGGAGTCTAACAGTTATGGTGAAGTAGATGATGAGAAAGATACTGAAGAATCAAGTGAAGAAGATAGTGATGAAGATCAAATCAAATATTCCATCCATGATCCGAAGGTCAAATGGAATGTTATGAAACCAGTTCTCGGAGAAAGGTATGAGTCCAGACATCAACTCTAATTATGTTTAACAAATTATTCCATCCATAAGGGTAATAAAATTCATGGCAAATTGAGTGACCATTATGCAAGAATGTGGGATTATGGACATGAATTGATGAGGTCCAATCCAGGTAGCACAGTTAGGATTTCTGTTAACCTAAACCCTGATCAGAATACAACTTTTCATTGAATGTATGTGTGTTTTAAATCAATCAAAGATGGGTGGAAGATAGGGTATCGTAGGGTTATAGGGTTGGATGGCTGATTCCATTGTTTATTCATTCAATTCATTATTGTTTCCATTGTTTATTGATTCCATTCATTAAGCATTCCATTTATGACTGATTCCATTCATTGTTAATTGATTATATTCATTGTTAATTGATTCCATTCATTCATGATTACACCGGAAACACTTATAAGTCCTACATAAACATAAACTTGTTAAGTCATTTCATTACATAATGGGACACAACATAATACATATTCCAAAAGACATTGATAGTACCCTAACATACATAACCCAAACAATATTAATACTAGCCAACAAACACAACCAAAACACTACTTCCCGCCCATCTTCTATCTATCCTACCAATCCTTCAACATCACCAAAACAAACACAAAAGAAACCATAAACACATAAAACAAATATTTCCATCTTCCACTTTTATTTCCATTAAGTTGATTAATGATCACTCCTTCCACGGGTTGTTGTGCTACCGGTTGTTCGACAATGCCTCCAAAAAAGTTCCCCTCAACTTGTTGTTGTCCAAACTCCCCGAATATTGGATTGTTCTCCAAATTACCATTGTTGTGAAATTCTAGTAAGAGATTTGCATACACTGGTTTGGTAGAGGAGGATCCACCCATTGAGAGTATTTACAGTCTTTGAGTGTATCCTGGTAATTTGGGCAACCTATAAACCTTCTTCCTGGGTTTAACGGAGTCCATGAAGTCCATCTTCCAACGGGATCACCAAAATAACATGTGCTTCTTAGACGATTCATCCCTCTTTGATTTGATCCTCTGCTTCCTATAGAAGATGAAGACGACATTTGTGGATCTTCCTCATGCTTTGATTTATGTCTGGTTCTATTTTAGGGCACGGGTGACTGAAACTCTTTTGCGTGCGTATGAGCTTTATATTTGACTCTCTTTAGTGACTCACATCCACCTCACCATGTCCAGTCCACATAGACATTTGTAACCGGTTAAATGAGGGTTACCGAATGAAGATGATTGAATTGTTAGGTTTATCCGGTTTATTGGACTTTTTTATTCAAAAAAAATATATGACTTTTTTAAAACTTTTCCCAAAATATTAGGACTTTACTGTAGATATCCCATGGATTTATGTCAATCGTTTCTGTGACAAACCCGTTTTCTTAGTGAAAACAAGTTATTTCTTGGTGAAAGAGAATTTGAAGAATCTCTTGTGTTTTTTACTTTTTCTGTTTTTCATTACTCTTTACTGTTCTTTCTTGTTTATATTCAATCTTTGAATTTACAAAGGTTTGGGACTTTCAAAACGTTTGCCTCCTACTCAAAAAAAAAAAAAAAAAAAAAAAAATCATTTTTATGTCTTTTCATGGATTTTTTTTTCTATTTCCCTCGCTGTGAGAAATTTTCATCTTTCATTCTAATTCTTCTTCTTCTCTCCCTTATTCTTGATCCATATTCTACATGCTCTCCTTTCTTCCCCTTTCTATCTTCAACTCCTTTCTACTTTTGTTTGGTCCGTAATTAGAGTTCATTCCAAGATCACACATAAAGACTTTCAAGATCAAGTTTCTACCGTTCAAGATCAAGACAATATTGTTAATTTTTCTGCATCAGTTTGAGCGTTGTACACTATCTTCTACGCAAATCGGAACCTGCCGGAACCTTATCTGTTTCCAGTGCCGACTTCGTCGGAGCTCCCGATCTCGCCGGAACGCTAGCAACTTCTTGCGCCAAGTTCACCGGAGCACTGGAGTTCCACTTCTTCCCCTCTCCTTCCTCTGCATTAGGTTATCTTCGCCAAAAAAAAAAAAAAAAAAAAAGCCTTTGTTGTGTCGCCCGCCGGAACCCTAGCAAATTCCGGCAACGTCATCGCCGAAAGCTCATGTTCATTTCTGTCTCATGCTCATGTTCTCTATGTTTTTATTTTCTTTGTTTTTCACTTTCATCGTCCTCCCGATCAAATTGTGGGGGATGTTAGATGGTTTAAGGTTTAGGGCCAAAGCCTTTTAAGGTTTAGAGTTTATCTGTATATATTCATATGTAATCATAATTTGAGTATCAAGGAATAATACCAAAGCAATCTATATTATAACAGTAAGAAGGGAGTGTAGATAAAGCTCGATCCAAATGAATGTGTTTTTAAGGCGAACTCGGAGGTGGGTCAACCAAATCTGTTTCTGATTCGGTTTTATGTTTGGATAAAGTTTTAGAAATAAATAATGAGGAATACTTGCTCTACCTATTTGACAGAATCAGGAGGAAAAACATCCCATTTTTTTTCTGGAGATGCGTAGACGTGGCTATCTTTCATAGCTTGTTCTTCATTTGTTTAATGTAGTTTTTCAGTAGTAGCCTTGTGTTTTGTAAAGTACTTTTTCAGATTATAAGTTTCAGTTGGTTTGTACGTTTCATATATTATTAAAGTACTTTTTGGCTTCCACATTGAAATAGCTTCTTTCATATTTGGTAAAGTATTATTTGGTTTCCACATTGAAGTAAACTCTCTCTATCTCTCTTCTCGATATAAACCCACAGGTCTTAAGCGGCTAAGCATCAATTTATGCTGACCGATTTCTAGTCCAACAAAGAGCATACACTCACCCTAATTCAATCCAACTCACTCTTCACGAACAACTATTAATGCATGATCACACGTGGCAACCCATAGCCACGTAGTTTTATTATTATTACGATTTTAGAACGTTTTAGTTTGAATTTTTGAAAATTCCACGTGCTTCACCTTCAAACAAGGAAGCGCGTTTATTCCATTGTAGAATCCAAAACTTATACCACATCTTACATTGTAGACATCACAAATCAAGATAAAGTTGGCACCGTTTGTGTCATACGTACATTCTAAGGAAAAGATTCCATAATGATGAACACAAGACACAACCTTACTTTATCTCTTTGAAACAAACAGAATCCAAAGAACACCAACTACATAGAAGACATCGAAGCTTCTTTGATGTCTTTGCATATATTATTCCTAACATATCATCGGTGGGAAAACCCCAAAAAATGGGTAATTCCATCTCACTCGTATGTTGTCCCTATGAATTGGTAAGAGAGAGAGGTGATGTTTTAGTGATCAAAGAAGATGGCGAGTCATTAAGATTCAAAGACGGGATATTTGTGAAAGATATTCTTTTTGCTTATCCTTATCACAAGATAATCCGGTGTTGTTCCGAAAGAACAGTCGTACCAAGAGAAAACCAACTGAGTTGCAACTGGCTTTACTTCTTGTTGCCAGTTGGGTTGGCACTCAGTGAAGCTGCGTACCGGAGTCTCATCCGGTCTGCAGCTTCACAAAATCTGAATGCCAGCATAACAACCATGATTAAGATAGAGGAGAACAATCAACAGAGGAAGGAAAATGATCATAAGGGGAAAGGTCCAGCGTACAAAGATTGTAGCTCTACGTACAAGTGGAAACCAATTCTAAGGACGATCCCAGAGATAACCTCACCTTCTATCTAATACGATACTTGTGGACAAAAAAAGTTACACGTGTATGTAAATTTTCATTCGTCTTACATTATACATTGTAGCATAAAATATGCCTACAATCTTTCCAGATTTGCGGCTGTTTTTGATTGATTGATCAGTAGTTGTATTTCTGCATGTAATAAATGGTTAAACTCAAACTCTAATAATCTGACTATTTTTGGGCAATTTTACCAAACCGTAAATCGCGTATCTTTGACATGATTTTTTATACATATCAATTGCATCCATTGTTTCTAATTTTCATATAATTTATTTATGGATTCGTATGGATACACTATCAATATCTTACTTCTAAAATAGATGTGCTAGAACTAAATTAGGAACCTTTCTGTATAAGTCTACCTCTCTAATAAATGAAACCTAAATTGCCACATGTCCTCTTTTTAGATCCTTGCTTTGCCAGATAGCATTTTTCTAGACTATAAGTTAATTGTTTTCCCGCCCATCTTATACCCTCTCCTGACTCGGAAATTTGAATCTCATCCTATATACTTTTGAATTGGAAGTTTGAAATTAAGGTTTAATCAATCCCATAAAATCAGCTAAAAATCTTTGACCATTATCTCAGTTAAATATAATCCATATTTGAATGTTAAGTCCTATAATTATCACGTATAGGAATCTCTCACCACCACTGCTACACTTCCACCATTGCTATGTCATCATCACCACCATCCATTGCAACCACCACCAACGAACAATCTCCATGACTTACTTAAGAAAAAATGGAGGGAGACGACATTGATTTTTAGTTTTAGCACTAAATTGATTTTTATCCTTAAATCTATGTGAAGTATTCTTATGCGATTAGGGTATAGATAATATCATCCCCTCATTTTCTACGCACTAGCAACCAGCTCCTGGAACAAAGTCGAATATGTTTTAGATTCTATCTTTTTGCATCATGTTTTTTCATCTTGTGACATGACTTCATCGAAAAAAACTCCTCTGTTTTTTCAACAACTATCTTTTCCTAACTTCACATTCAAATTGTAGCACCCGGTTCCTGGTATGAATTTCGTTCAAATATTATTCATTTTTTTGCCTAGAACTCGGCGAGTTGATGGCCAACTCGACGAGTAGGAGCGACTTGGACCCGGGAGTTTAATGACCTACTCGACGAGTCGGCAGCCAGACTCGACGAGTAGGCCCTGACTGGACAAAACCCTAATTTAAGGGATTACACCCTATTTAAACATCTCATTCAACCTCCCTCCGTCCCTATTGCTCTCAGAACTCTCCATATCAAACCTTAATCGTTTGTGTAAAGATCTAAGGCCTTTGTGGTGGTTTTTGGTGATTTTGGAACTCAAGAAGGAGGAGAAAGACTTGAGGAATCAAGAGGAGGCCAGAGGTGTTCGAGTTTGTACACCCTCTGCAGTTCTTTAGAGGTATAAAGCTGATACCTTGCTCTTTCATGTTTTAGATCCCTTTTTGGGGTGATTTAGGGCTTTTAGGAGCCATTCTTGGTGACCAACCATGAGTGCAGCATGGTTGGGGGCTAAGACTTCAGATCCAAAGTCTTTGAGTGTGACAACCCGGAACTTCTACCTTGTACATTTAGTCAACTTTATCAATGCTAAGCTTGTTTTATTGACTTCTTGCACTGTTTAGAGTCTGTTTGAGCGTTCTAAGCTTAGTACATCAAGGGACCAAGTGTTAGAATGGGTCAACTAAAATTCCAAACCATCAATCAAGCCATAAACCCTCAAGTGAGGAGTTTACGGCCATGACCCATGAGTTTACGACCGTAAACTCATGGTGGCCGTAAACCCATGCTGGCCGTAAACTCTGATGGCCGTAAACTCCACCTATAAGTAGGAGGTTCGGTCCATTTTCTGCACTTTTTCCTTTCTAAGGTTTGGAACTCGAAAACTCTCTCAAGAAGTCATAGGATTTTGCTTCAAAAACTCTCATAATGTAAGTAAATCCTTCCATCTAAGTGTTAATACTTCTCTTCTCCATGAATCATCATTGATTTCATCCATGGATTTCATCTTTGAGTCTAGATCTTCAAAGATTCTCAAGAACATCAAGAACACTTAGGTGTTTTGGGCTGAAAACACCCTTCTTTGCCTTCAAATCGTAAGTATGACTTCCTTATACTTGATATCTAGTATGAAACCATGATTAGCACCTTGAATTCATCCAAGAACACGGATCAAAGTGAGTTTACGGCCAAGAGCATCTCCTTTGGCCGTATACCCTTATTAGAGGTGCAAATGGAGTCGTAACTCTTTATAAGGCTTGGACTTAGGGCTAGAACACTTCCTTGTGGACTGTAAGACCGTAAAAACACCCTTTTGAGCACAAATCATCATGAGTTTACGGCCGTAAATTCTTGTGGCCGTGAACTCATGGCCGTAAACCCTGGTGGCCGTGAACACCTGGCCGTAAACGCTGGTGGCCGTGAACACCTGGCCGTAAACACAATAGTGTGGCCTTAAACTCCTTAGATGCAATCCTTTGTGGTTATAACACTTCTATATGAGTGTTTCCTAGCCCCTAAGGTGTTTCACTCACATGACTAGTTGTATAGACACTAATTATATTCAATTGTGTCCTTGTATGCTTATTAGGATCGGTGTGAGTGCTCAAGTTTCCACTTGGCATCTAGCATCCTATACCACTCTTTCATCCAAACTACTCACCGCAGGTGAGTTCATACCCCTATATTTTCCGTGTTTTTAATGTTTTCAGGGGGGATACAAGCTAAACATAAATGTTTTCAAAACTCATGCTATTCTCATACTTTAACCCTTTTGTACTGTGTTGAGCATAAGGGTCGTTTTCACTAAAATTGCATAGTTTTCCGGACTCGCTATTCACTACGTTATACATGCAAACTATAATCGGTATAGTTTGGGATTTTCTAAACATAACAAGTACATAAACTTTCACTACTAAACATATGCACTAAGACAGAAGCAGTTTACAGTTTACATCACTACTTTATCATGGTATTCATAACTGTAATTATCTCTACATACAGTATACATACGGATTTTCGCTATGGTAGAACGCTACTACACTGCATGTAAACTAGATTGTACGATACTGTGAGGCGCTACTTCAATACTGTACCCTTAGGTGTACAGGGATAAATCCTATCATAGTATAACCGGAGTCTCCTGGAGGGAGAGCGTGAGATTTGTGAATAGATCTATTCGGGACTGACAATCCCACACCTGAACTGCTAGCTACAGTTAGGCGGGCACGCCTGGGGTGTACAAATGTCATTTAACTCGACGCCTGAAGAACGTTGGAAAGGTCTCTAGTCATATCAAGCATGGTTATACGACTCACATTATGTATAAATCACCTTTAGTTTACAACCTGGCACTCTTCAACAGTTTTATTTATACTAAATAGAACTAATACACACTACTACTGGAGAACTTTCAGAGTTTTCAAACAGAACTGAACATACAATGGTTTCACGTACGAAATACTTATACATCATGATTAGCATTAGCTAGTCACATGAAGTATTATTTTCGCACATCACTACAGTTTTCAGTAACAAACATTCACGATTTCATACAGAATTGAGAACACTACATTTTCACTAAAGAAAATATCGGATTTTCTTGAAACTATACAAAACACTTTTACGAGCTCATCAACAAGTTTTCATTACAAACTACCGCTTATGAACTCACCAGCTTTATGCTGATATTCTTTCAAACTGCTTGTATTCTCAGGAAATCAGTAGACAGGTACTTGCTGGATTTTTGAGGAACTGGAGCAATAAGAGTTTTATGTTTATACTTTACAAAGCTATTCGATGTAATTCAAACAAGTTTCAAACAAAGTTTCAAACTGATGTAAACGTTTTCATTTAAGTATTCACTGTAATGGTTGTGTTGCTATGATTGCTATTATTCATTGGTTGTGATGCTGCACATGACGTCCTCCACCCCAGAACGTTTCCACCTTTCTGGTTTTGGGTTGTGACAGATTGGTATCAGAGCCCTTGTTTATAGCAAACTAGTATACCGAACCTTACGTGGTATACAACTATAAACACTAAGGGGCCTAAGTGCTCTACGCTAAAAGTATACTTTCAAAAATATAAGTATTTTTATAAAAAGTATACGAGCATGCATACATAACAGAATTTGTGTCATAAGTAGAACAGAACAAAAGTATTTTGATGCTGGAACGCTGCGGTTAAACCTGGGCAGTTATGTAATCATGTCTAGGGTGAATATAGCCTGATCAACTATATTCAATCGAGACATGACCAACATGTGCTTGGGAGTGACTGCGGTGTTACAGCAGGCCTAAAACTTACCAAAATCATCTCACATAAAATACTATAGGAGTATTTTAGCTAGAGCCAAACTCAGTATACAGATTCACCCCAAGTGTTGCTACCTCTTCTTCCTTACGCGATAACTTACTTGCATTAGTAATCTTTCTGTGCTTATCGTTTGGTAGAACACTTTTGTTATCAGGATGAGATATATCTTGTTTCATATATCTTGAGGACTTACCATCCTCTTCTTCCTGATTATTTCTAGAAAAAGATGCCTCCCCGACGAAGACCCATCAGAAGGAACGACAACACACCACCAGCACCTCCTCAGTTCGACCCTGTCATGTTTCAGGCAGCAGTTACAGCCGTCGTGACTGCAGCAATGGCACAATTGAATGCTGGTGGGGCTGGAGGTGGAACCGACCCACAGAGACAAGATGGAAGTCAGTGACATCAAAAGGAGTGTTCCTACAAGGACTTCATGACTGCAAAACCCAAGTCCTTCGACGGAAATGGAGGTGTCATCGCTCTGACTCGATGGTTCGAGAAGATCGAATCCATCTTCGAAATTTGCGCTTGTTCTGAAGCAAACAAGGTGAAGTTCGCCGCCTGCACTTTCACCGACAGAGCTTTGACGTGGTGGAATGGTCGAGTCAAAACCCTAACCCTGTCGGTGGCTAATGTCATTGGTTAGGAAAGACTGAAGGAA